ACAGCTAAGTGGCATGAATGGATATTAAGTGTAATAAGCTTTCTTTGATCTGAATTCAAGCATTTAAAATGAAAGAAGGTGTTTTGCTGACAGGAAACATATTATAGTAGAAGAAGGTTAAACAACTTTCTCTCTTGCTTGGAAGCACAAAGGAAGAACATTTATTATTATTTATTATGAAGCCAAAGCTGAAACAAAGTTAAGTGACTTACAGTGGTTAAATTAAAAATTGTCTGTGTACAGTTTGGAATTGTAGTAGTCTTTGGCAATTCCTTATGCTTAAGTCTTATGTTCCTAGGTATTGGAGAAACAAGGCTTCTTAATGTATACCTGTAACTTTTACAGCTGTTTGATCTTCAGTCTAGATGTTGGAGAGAAGTGAAGTCTTGTAGGGCATAGATTATTAACAAAAAGGACAGAAAATCATCTATTAATAACACTACTCTTTCTTGATGAGATCAGAATCTTACCTACTCTCCATTCAGAAAACAAATTTATTTAGATAAAAACCTTTCAAATGACTTTCAGTAGCATTGAGTTTCCAGAAGTTACATGCAGTTACTTCAGCCCGGAGAGGTTAGTTGTCCTCATTTTTTGAAAGATGCAAGCTAGATGATGGTGAGACTGCTGAGGACTGAAAGCAAGTTACTGCCAGAACCAGAGACAAAACCTAAGTATATCATTAAGTACAAGACGGTCTCTTGCATTACTTCCATGTTATTTTTTGAGGCAAAGTTCTCTGTTATTCTACTCTTTTCTATCTGCTTGCCCCTCCCCCCCCCAGCCTTTCAGTTTTACGCTCATCCCTTACCAGAATGTTTAGTTCTCACAGTCTTTCTCCTGACTCTTTAAAAAACCTCCGAGGTCCTTTCTGCCCTGTGTTGTTGCTGTGTCCTAGAAAGAAACGTTCTGCTTATTCAGAACCAGCATAAATGACGGCAATGGACAAAGGTGGATTTTGCAGCTCCATGCTGTATAAAGATTATCCAAAGAGGGCAGGGAGCGTTTTTTTTTCCACCTATTTATTAATATGTTCTATACAGGGGAAAGTTTGGTTATCTGGTCAGCATCCTTGATAGCAATTTCTAGTAGAAACAAGAAAACTGAAAAGAAACTCTTTTATCCGTTCCAGAAGAGTTTTAAATTAAATTTACCCCATCGAGGCAGAGTAAGAATGCCAGGTGGAATTGGTGCACAATCAATATGGCGCTTTAAATTCTCATTTTAATTATTTTAACCTTTTCTCTGTAGCTTAGCCATTAATTTTCTGTAACCAATCTCATCAAACACAAGCATGTCTAGCCTATTTAGGAATTTTACATAGATATTTCTTTTTAAGTTGCTAACTAAGTAGTGCAGTTCAAAGCTATAATATATCCAAAGAGATGAGTACATAGTTATTTTGGCAATTCCTCTTTGGCTAGAAGGTGCCCAGTAATTTGGAAAATGCTAGTATAGCTGTCATTTATTACCTGAAAATCTGTAATAACTGTACCACACAGAGCATCTTTTATTTTACTGCAGTACTAAGAAGTGGGTGTACTTATTCGAGGCTATACAGGGATTGAAATTTGACTTGTAACTTTATGTGCTAAAGAACTCCTCTTTCTCCTCCTTCAAAAAAGTCTCGCTAAAAATTTTGGTTTTGCTAAATAGCATTAATTTTTTAATTGTTCAGACAGTTAAGAAATTTGACTAACTTGAGTTCCTAAGTGTTTTTAATCACCTTGAAAATTTCTGTGGCACATACAGTTTTTAATTAAAACATGTGCCCCAAAGGAAACACCAGAGAACTGACAATTCTAATCCTTCATGTGGCTGCAGCAGCCAACTTATAAAGGTTAAGCTGGCAGAAAAGCCAAGAAAAATGAAATGTCTGCTTAAGTGATTAAAAATTCTTTCCTTTTTTCTGTACTCAAATGTTCAGTGTATATTGATATTTTTGTTAGTTTCTTATGTTAAAGAGCAGCTTTATTGGCTAGCGTATAGCTTTAGTATTTATGCTGTGTCAGCACTTCAGTTGAAGCCTGCCTTTTGGGTGGTTTACAAGCCTTTATAATGCTTAAACTACTAGCATATAAGATTTGCTTAGAAAGAGATCTTTATTCTGTTTATGACATTAAAAAAGATCTGTAAATACTTGCATTAGGAGGTATAAAAAATAAAATCTCACTACTCTGTGCCTCTTGTTTAGTAGTAGTTGGTCCTTTGAGTTTATATGAAGTGTTTTTTGTCGTTCTTGTTGGAAGTGTTGACAAAATAAATGATTTTAATTCAGCTGAGTGCATCTTCAGCCAGTCTGAATGTTGAAATTGTCTTATGATGGCATGAAGCAATTATTTCTAGTCAATTCACTGAAGAAATATACATTCATGATATTTAACCTAGTTCATTAGGTATGCATTCTAGAAAAATTTTGCACAAATGCCACATTTGAATATTCTAGCTTTCAGAGTTTTATTCCTTTGTTGTAAGGCTCTTCCTGCAACTTTTACTAACCTATTTTAAATTTGCAGGGGACAAAAATAAGCAACTAACAAAACTATGAGTAACAACCTCATTTTTGAAGTTTCATTGTCTCTTTTTTAGTAAAGCTGAGACTACAACACTCATAATGTTTCCATTATTTAGAGTTCATAGGTGCCTGACTGCCCTGTATACTTTTTCAGATGAAAATATAATTCTGAATTCACTTCTGCTCTTGCAATAAATCTGGTTGAAAAGGTCTTTAAGCTTCACTTAATTCAGTCAGCTTGCAAAAATCTGGTTTCTGTTGAGTTTCCTGTTTGTGATGTATTTCTGGACTGGTGTGCACTAGGATAACTTTTCATTTTGAAGCAAGGCCACCAACATTGCCGCAATGGATACTGGCTGCTTGTAGTAGGGCCGAGGAATGGATTTTGAAATCTCCCCCAGTCAGATTTTATTTTAAAATCTGTTTTGACATGCCATTCTACTGGGAAGGATTCCAAGAAGGAAACACTTTAACAGTTTCTTTGGTCTCCTTTAAAATCCTCTTGCTCTGTGTAGCTCAAAAGAGATGGGGAAACTCTTAATCTATTTATCAGCATTCATCTCTGAAATCCCATAGGTTAATGTGTGCAGAGAGGGATTTTCTTGAAGAGATAAATGTAATGGCTGTAATTAGTTCTTGTTGTCTCTGCTGTAACTTGAAGGTGTTCAAAAGCCTCACAAGTGATTTTTTGTTTGAACTTTGAACATGACTCTGGCAAACGAGTTTGGTCCAGAGACTATCCAGAGGCAATACCCATATTCCATTACTCTTGAGAAACCCTATCCCTGTGAGAGAAGCTTTTACTTGAAAATTCTTTTGAAGGTTGGGAAAAATTGTCTTAGATTGCCATTATGCAGATAAAACAAGGGATATGTAAAACAGGATGAAGTTGTTAATTTTAAGAATGTGTAAATCTCCACATTGTATTGTGATGTTTTTCAAGCATACAAGGAACACTGTACTGTATGCATTTGTTTTACTGCTGCTTTACCAGTACAGGTTAGAATACCTTCCACCCTCCCCCTAGCAGCTGAATGAGGTTCTCTTATTTCTGTGCTGTATTGTTTCCAGGTTTTTAATGTCAGTCACGTGAGCCCTTTAGCAATGTTAATCACTGTTTCTGACTAAACATTTGGACTCTTAAGATTTAAAAGATGAGAGATTCCATTTACCGCATGCAGGGTACAGCATTTGTTAAAGCATGTTTAAAGTTGGATGGACAGGCCCAAGCACACAGGGTTAGCTTAGACCTGCAAGTTAGAAAAATAATTTTTTGTCTCAGATACTTTAAAAAAAAAAAAAAAAAAAAAACCCTCCTGTGATTGCCAGATTTACATAGAATTCTTTGTCTGTTTGCAACTAATGAAGCTTAATTATGATTAGCATAGCTGGAAAACCTGAAGATCCCTTTCTGGCAGGGTTTTTTTAAAAAACATAGGATATAAAGGCTTTAGGAGAATGCTTCTTTCAACTTATTCCTAGTTTCTAGAAATAGAAATTATATCAAAATAAAATTCTACAACAATTATGCAACAAAACCATGAACACCAGAATTGAAACAGAAATATCTCAAATTGTGATGCTTCTGTAAGTGAAAGTAAGTTAATATACTATCAGCTTTAAGTTTACATTATAGTAATTAAATAGACAAAAATGGCCAGTTATAGCTTTTGAAATATCCCTTAAATAGCCTGTGAAGCTAGACAAGGGGCCACTGAGTAAGAAAAACAGTCAGATATAATATTTGCTCTACAAAGAACAACTACACAAGCCAAGTTCTTACAGGCACTGGGTTGAAACAAAATCTGCCTGCGCTCAACTTTTGATCATGTCTGATCTTGTGGCACCAATCAGGTGGCAAATTATCACTGTGGACAGAGATCCATTTAAGGAGCAATCTGTATTGCAGGAAGAAGAAATGAATTAATTGGTAGTATTTTTCCTTATGAGTCACAATTAAACCATTTCACAGATGCTGAAGGATTGCTGTCTCTCATCATAGGTTACTTAGTATGAGCTTTCTCACTTGACATTTTATAGCCAATGAAAACAGACCAAACTCATATGCTAGGGTTTATAATGGCTAGGTGGCATCTTCTGAAGCTTGAGCATTTCGGATTACGTAAAACTATTACTCTGCAAACTTTTTTTTATTTGTTATGTATAATCCATAAACTTCTCTTCCCATTCTGACTAGTCAAGTTATATCGGCCAAGTATATAAAGAATTAGCTAGTTATTTTTATGTTAGATAAGCGAAATCATAGAAGAAACTCATTCGGCACAGAAAGCATATGGCACAGAGGTACCTCTTGAACTCTGTTTAAGGGGCTTGAGTTATAAGGCTTATACTTTGGGGAGGGCGAAATGCAGTCTTCTAAAAAGCATTTTTAAAGTGAGTTTGAATGAGAGAAAAGTTTCTTCAAATTACTTTTGCTTTGTTTCAGTGTTGAGTGGTTTTTAAGGAGAGGTATATTTTCTTTCAGAAAACTGAGATGTGGGAGAGTGAGAAGACTGAGGAAGACATGGAAGAATATATCTGGGAAAATAGCTGCTCTCAGAAAAATGCCTTGGATACACTAATTCGAATAAAAGCCTCAGAGAATGTCAGTAATGTAACTAAGGAAGAGCTTCTTGCATCTGAGGTTGTTAAGAATTACAGAAACTCTGTAGTTGCCCTTAAAAATGAAGGTGAAACAGAAAATAACATGTCTCAGTATAAGGACTCTGTAAAGAAATTATTGAATATACCAGCGTTACCATGAAAGCAGACTCTTGCAGGTCCCTCTTATTATGGAAATATTATACTAGTATGTTAATATTTCTATGTGATATAATTATTCAGAACCTTAAGTTAAAAAAAAAATATATAGAAATATGAGAGAATAATAAAAGTATCCAGACAGATTTTTCTTTACTGTTGATTTTCTTGTAAACAGTGGTTTTGCTGTCCATGAATCTTGTTCCTTAAATAAAGTATGTTTTGAGTAACATTGGTGACTTGAATGTTCCATTCTGTGCATTCTTAGCTTGGGAGATCCTCATTCCGTACTGTTTGTTGCATTCTGACTTCTCACGTAACTTCTCTTGGCATATAACTGAGGATAATGTTTTCGAAAACAATCAGATGACTTAGGCTTCCAGATTCCGTTAACTTTTAATGAGTTAGTCTCCTTCAAAACAATGCAGTCCCTTTTGCGATGAGAATCTTAAGACCTCTAAACTTTCTAAATGGTTTCCAAATGTCACTCACATTTTTCTCTATTTCTATTCCATGTCTGTAAATAAAAGATAATAATAACTAAAAGGTTTTAACTAAAAGGTTTAACTATTGAAGAGAGGTGTTGGAGAACACTACACGTGTGAGAGTCTCAGTTGTTATGATGGGGCCTATACAAATATTTTTAAGTAAAAAGTACCTGTCCTTTAAAGGACGGAATGAAGTAAGTTAGCAAGCGGGATACTAATGGAAAGGTAAACTAGCAGTTATTTACAGGATGCCAAGGCATGTGGAGAAGGAAAAATGATGACAGTTGCTGAAAGCATCCAAATCATTTTTAGTGATAGCTGGTGACAAGGCAAGTATCTTGCTTAAATAGGAATGGTCTGAGTCTTGATACACTGAGGCCTGCCAAGTTGTCTATTGAATGAACTCAGGCTTTGCAATGAAAAAAATGTCTGTTGAAATGCTTCCAACTTATTACTGTGAAGCACAGAGGAAGAAATCATACGGAGGTTTATCTTATATTTGGTAATTTGTATTTGAAAGGAATTGATGTGAAACGTTCAATTACAGGCAATTTTTGTTACCTTCTCATGATTAAAAAGTAATCATAAAAATATCATCTTGAGAAGACATTACTCTACTCTTGCTTTTATTGTACCTTCCTGGCTTACTAGATTTTCAATTTAGAGAGAAAATCTTCATTTTTCTGAAAGGGGCTAAGGGAGTTTTTGCTTATTAGACTCAAAAATTCTGCACCCCTATGAAGGAGCCTCACATGTGGCCCAGCTGACAGATGACTGAGGGGAAGCAGTCAGCATAAGAATAAAGATATTGAAAACTGAAGGGAGGTGAATTGACTTCTGAAAAGTCATCTTGCATGGCTTGATTCCTTCACTACTGGGGGCTCTCAGTGCTGCAGCTTGTGTGATCTTTATGTACCACCAGAGTGTATGTATTGCCACTTCTAAAAATGTGCAGTTTTTTGAAGGGTTCATTTTAGGTGGAGACCCTTTTCATATGCCAAGAGATTGAATTTAATGCAGTGGTTTTTTACTCCTTACAAATGAGAATTTGCTAGAGCTGTAGCTAAGACTGAAATTACTCATGTCATACAAATGTATCACATCTGTAATTTTGCATTCACTTACTTGGTACTTAGTGGCCTTTCCTTTTAAGTTTGTATTAATATGAGTTTTATCAAAAGCTTAAAGGGGAGAAAATTTTGGTTGTTGTTAAGTTGTTCCTTAATTCAAGGAGAAAGGGGATTGATTTTTAGGAGATTGATTTGATTGTTTGTTTGTTTAATTAGCTTCTTCAGTGCTTGCATGAGGACTGGTTTGCTAGCAAGCATATATAGCTAACTTCCGTTTTGCAATGGCATGTGTTGTACTAAACGCTCTGGAGTAATGCACTTAACGTGTTTAAGAAACCTAAGACACGATAAGCTTACTTTTCTCTATAAACTTGTTCTTTTGTTCTCAAGGCATATGGGCACCTGATCAAAAATCCTTTTTGTAACAGAGGGCAATTCAGTTCTTCCTCTGTCTTCATAGACTTTAAACGGACCTTACCAAGGTTCTCTATTAAAGTTGTGGTTAAAGTAAGAGTTTGCCTTTTGATGATGATAATGTCTGTCAGGAAGGACAGCACAGCAAAGGGAATTGATTTTTCATTTGATTACATTAGCATTTCATTAGCTTTAGAGGTAATTAATGGAAAACCTAAAATCCACAGGCTTCTAGAGTTCCCTGGGTAGTGCTCAAGCCCAGCTTATATGTTATATAAATGTTTCAAGAAGTACAGATGGGATAAAACGTGGATGTCTTTCAAGTGCCAGGACACCCGAGTGTCTCTACCAACAATGGCTTTTTTTTTTCTTATTTTAAGTATTTACTGGCCAAGAACAATGTTGGGATGAATTCATTATGGTCCCCTAACCACATCCAGCACTGATCATCAGAAATTGAATCACTGTCAAAGGTATCAGTTTTCCAGTAGTATATGACTTAGTGACCTGATGTGGATAGAGCAATTGGCCAGCTGGCCTTAGGAATCTACAAGATTGACCTCCAACCTTGCTTTTCTTTGTCCTATTCCCTTTCTCTCCTTTCTAGGAAACACTCAAGCAAAATTAAAAATGTTCCCAATCCTATAAGTGTCCAATCAAGCTGCTAGAACCAAAGGCAATACCACATTCAGTTACATTTTTGATTTTAACTAGTGATTTATATGTTATGGTACAGAACTTGTATAAGTTTGGATTGGGTCACAGGTAGCCTGGATTGTATTCTTAGCTCTCTGTCATCTTGGATATTTCTCTTTCTCTTTTTCTGCTTGTTCTTTCCCTCTTTCTCCAAACTATTTAAGTGTTTGAGGGTGCCAGTATTTCTCTGTGATTTTTTGTAGAATACCTAGGACAACGAGACTTCAGTAGGAGTCCTCCAGTCCTTGATGGTGTATAACATAGCATATGTTTTTATGAATTAAACGGCACATCTTTATATACATTCCTGTATATTGTTCCTGCAGACCATCTCCTTGGAAACCTGCACTGCAGTTTAAAAACTAGAGTTAAACCATAATAAATTTACAAGTGAAGCCACTCTACTGCACAATAATAAGTACATCTTTATCTATGATCAGTCATTAATGTGTCATAATATAAACGTATGACTCTAAAGTGTGCATCCCTCTAGGTATACTTTTGTGCCTGTACATTCTTTTTAAAGATTTATATCAAGAAGCAGGCCAGGCCCTCAGTGCATAAACTGGGAAGGAAGGGGGAACAAAAAAAACACATGCAATATCTAGAGGCATTGGCTGTCTCTATAGGCAATTCTTTTACTGGTATTTACTGGCCAAGAGGAACATGGAGCTAGTTCATGACAGCCTTAACCTCAGGCAACCCTGTCCATCATAGATTGAAACTTGAGCAGGAAAGGCTACTATATGTGCTTCTTTGAGGTCATTGTTCTAAACTCCAAGTAGCAGATGTCTCATTTCAAATCCAAACATTTGCCCCCGCAAACTGGAAAAGTAAGTTTCTTACAGCAAGGAAAAAATAAGCTGTCTCCAGTGGAAAAAACTTACACAAATTAAGTTCTTGGCCATCTGGAACAGTCCTGATGCATAATTTTGCTGGTGCTGTTGAAGAGACTAGCCTTTCTTTTATCTCCCATATAAACATTCCAAAAGAGGTTGAGATCTAGCAGTTGGTCAAACTGGAAAAGAACTTGCTTTGTCAGTATTCTGGCTAATTTCTTGTATCTATAAACTACTATAGTCACTGGCATAAGATGCCTTTAGTAAACACTGTATTAAGAGTGGTGGAATGAAAGTGTTCATGGTTTCACTATATAGTTTCCTGAGGCTGTCTATGTTCTATCACACTTTTGCCCTGTTAAACAGGGCTGTTGGTCACTAGGCACAATCTCTTGCTCTGATTAGACAAGAAGGCCTGTACAGAGACACGATTCCATCTTTGGCAAGGAGGTAGGTGTTACAATTATTTCTCAAAGTGCCAAGACCTGTTTGTGACTGGTATGTGTGAAGAGGTGGTAAACATCTGCAGGTAATCTCATGGTCTTTAGAGTGGTAATTTATATTCCTGATCACACTTTTGCCTGTTTTGGTGTATTATATTGCTACAAGCACACCTAAGGGATAAAGGGACAGTTGCCTTAAGAGGGATGTGCTGTCTGGACAAGACATCTTTCCAACTAGAAAGCTTGCAGTTTTTCCTCATAATGTATGTATTCACTTTTTTTGTGACTGTCTTAGATTGTAATAAAACAGTCCTGCTACTGTGCTTTATATAACCCTTTTTCTGCCTAATTTTTTCTGTATATACTGACAAATCAGAATAATCCTCCAGAACATGATCCCAAGTATTCTAATTATTTCATCCTGCCCCATGCCCCATCAGTATTGTGCATGGAACAAATACAAATCTTCACTTCTCCTTCATCTGTTTTTTCTGGTTAATATTGGTATCCTAATTCACTGATATGAATCCACAGAACAGAGTTTTGAGGGCAAGTAGCAAAGGAACGTGAAGTTGCTACCAAGTGTTACAGTCACTAACCAGGTAGATAAAGAAACCATGGCCCCCAAAGATGACTGTGACTTGCCTCAGGTCACACAGCTGATCAGTGATTAGATACAAGTTACTGTTCTGAGAAGGGAAATAGGTGAAAAAAACCCGCCTATTTTAAAATAAAGGGTACGTTGCCTATGATTTATTTCCATTAAAATTAATGCTTCCTTGCAAAGATTTGTATTTCTGACATCTTGGGGTAGTCTTAGGTTTACAACCATCCCTGATGTAAGAACAGCAAGTTCTTGCTTTTAAAGTAGCTGATTCCTGCCCCCTCCCCCTTTTTTAATCTACTCCACTAGTTGTATCCATGTGTTATGACTAGATTTTCTTTTTTTTTTTCTTCTTTCAAGCTGCTATGGACGGTCATTTACAACAAAGGAAGAGTTAGGTTGAAAGAGGCCTCCTACAGTTGACTTTCCATATTGACAATCCATATTGCTAGCAAATGTTTCATGAGGCACTCAGGTATCAGCCTGAATAGGAAGAAAGGTCAGGATAAGAAAAGATACTAAGGATTTGGGGACAATGAAATTGGTGCAAGTCTCTTATAATGAAGGTATTGCAAGATGTTAGAGCATGTCTCAGTTTTCCTTTAAACTCCATGATACTTATCTGAGCACTCTCACTGAGAATGCTAATACCTTAATAGTACAGGAAGAAGAGAGAATTGTCCCATGTTCAAGTTCACTTCTGATGTTTCCTGTCTTTTGAGTGTTACCTATCCATTATTGATAGCACATTAGCTATGTTGCCTTGACACGGACAGATCTCGCTCATTTGACTCCAGTTGAGCTATACTGCGTTATGAATTTAAGAGACTTCCCCTATTTATACATATGATTAAATAACCAGTTGAATCAGAAATATACTCTTTTCAGCGTAATAAGTTAATATATAAAAGGCACTGTTACAATACTGTCACCTCACACTGTCACACAGTTCTGCAAATCTTCTTACTTATTTCTTATGTGGGGCAGGTAGAAAGAGATGTTGTTCAATCCCTTTTCTTTAAAACCTGGAAGAAGAAACAAAAATTGACGTTCATATAAAAAAACTCCTGAAGTAGGAAACAACTAATTATAATACAAAATATATATGCCTGTGTAATTGAAAGTAACTAATATTCAGCAGTGCTTGGCAAAACTCTAGGCTAAGAAAAATGAAACACAGATTATCTAGTTAAAACTGGAGGAATTTTTAGGTAAACAGAAAGAGATTTTCACTATCTGAATTTGACTAAGCTGCCTGCATGTGAATCCTGCATGCTAAAAATAACATGGAATTACATAGCCTACTCATCCTGCAACACAGTACTTGTCATCCCCAGGCAAGAGCACTGAGCAATAAATATTTTAGCATTTTCCCTGATTTTCAAGATAAATTGTATTTGGAATTCTGTGCTGCAAGTTCCTGAAAATAAAGTTTGCGTAGTTTGAGATGTCTTAATTTCTCAAGTAACATACCTTCTCTTTGGTTGGGAGCTATGATCTGAACACAAGCAGAACTTTAGGAGAGAATGGCTCCATTCAGTCTGAAGAAAAGCATCCCAGGGTGCAGATCTAGTTCTCTTACAGAGTATCTGGGTTTAGGTTTAGGCTTCTTAACTGTTAATCTTATAAAATTACAATGTTCTTCAAAGTGAAGTTTTTACTGAGCCATCCTTTGGCAGCAAAATATGCACTTTGCCATAGTGATTTATCTTGACCATATTAAAGAGACAACTGGATGAAACATTGCTATATTACTGCATTATTTTAGATGTTTATTAGTGTGGTAGCAAATAGACAAGCAGAAAGGTAACGAGCTGTATTTTAGACCTGCTTTTGATATATCTTTACATTTGAAATGCAGGTTGGTTTTCAAATGTGTTTTCCTTGGTTACATGATTTTAAAAATTACAGGGAGAAATATCTAATTTTTAAAGTCTTTTCATTACAAACTGACATGAGAATGCTCACTAAAGGGTTTTGTGAGAGAATCCCTTGACAAAATGTGCTTGTTACCAGTACTGAGTGAAGTGGAGAGTACCACAACTTGACATGGAGCATGTGATTAATCAGTTTGTTTGTTTAATGTATTTGATCAAGGTTGTCATGCTGTGAGAAGTATCTAGACTTTGGCTGTGATAAAGATCAAAACATCAGTTTTGCAGACCTTTCATTTCCTGGATAAGACTTCCTAAATGGGAATGAGCTATGCCTACGTCAGTCTTTAACAGAAAGAGGTTTCAGTGAGCAATGACCGTTTCCTTCAGAATTCGACTTGGGCAGAGAACGGACGACAGAGCACTGCGCAGTGGGAATTCTGAACTAAATGGTCTGCAGCTCCTAGTTAAACAAAAACCATACTGAAGGTGTTGGTGCACATCACCATTTTGTGGTGTAAGTTGTGGTGACAGGATATAAAACTTTGCAGACTGAGGGACTGATTTTCTCCTCTGACATGCACGTGCCTATGTGTTCTAATGAAGTGAATCATATCTGAGAGTTCTCCATTTCAGGGACAGTTCCATTAAGATTACCTTAAGATGAAAAACACATAAGAGATACATTCTTTATTCACAGAATGACCATATTCATCTTTTGATACAATGCAAAATACCTTGCTTCCTCTCACCTAGTTCTTCCTCCTGGAAAATAATGCATGCCAGCGTCCTCTAACAGTGAAGAGCCATGGGGGACTCATTATTCTTAACTGAGGTTTCCATTGTGAATATCTTTAGTGACAATTTAACAAAGACAATGTCGTAGACCCAGCCACATGATGAATTAGAAAAGTGCATTCTGATGATAAAGAGGGAGTTATTCAAATCTGAAGTACATTTTTGCCATGTGTACAGCTCTAGAGATACATTACTTTACATAAAAGCATAGAACTGCCCTTAAAAACAAATCATACTTAATTATAATATTTTTTAGCTAAAATGGAAGAAACTGCTTGTTATTTCAACTGATTAAGAAAAACCCTCCTTTAGAAAAGTTTAAAATGTTCTTCTTATCCCTGTGTCTATCCCTTTTCTATTACATATAAATTAGCATAGAAGTTCAATCAAAGACTACTGACAGGTTTTTTAAACTTCTGTTTCCTAAGCTACACTGCTGATCGATGTGTACTAAAACATAATTTTAAGGAGGTCTTTTTCTCTCAGACTGACCTCCTCAATTGTAATTAGGTATTCATGTGGCCTTATAACCTCATTGCTTTTGTCTTTGAAAATTCCATGAATCTTACTAGTTTTTAAATAATGTTCTGCATAGACATGTGACTATCGATTTCATTTTTGATTTTTTCTTTTTGCATCATTTACACTTCTCTGGGAAATAAACTTCTTGCAGTAAGTGAAGAAAGTGAGGAGCTCGGAAACATCAACAAGTTTACAAGATGAAGAACAATCCTGGTTACCACTGAAAATGTTTGCTTTGCTAAGCAAACTTCCTAAGTATGGTAAGGCAAGGAAATAGTTTGCAACCCTGTTGATCTAGTTGCTTGATTTATATTTAGGAGGAGCATTTTTATGAATGCAGTGTACAGGATGAGGAAACAAAAAAGTTGTTTTATTATAATGCTAACTTCTAGAACTTCCAATGCCTTTTGTGCTACATATATTAAATGAATGTCCCTATTCTAAATAGCTAAACATGTAAACAATAATTATAAGTAGTCAAGAAAAAGCAAGTCAAGGTGGACAACACAGGTTGACACTAATAGCAAGGTATGAACAACTCTTAGTCAGCCACATTTATCCCTTACTTAGCCAATAACAGAAGGAATTTTGGAACGCACTGCAGAGCAAGTAAATTTACAAAAGCAGTAAAAGTCTGAAGGTGTTTTTGGGAGGACTTAGAAAACATCTGAAGTGATACTAGAAGAGTGAAGTGAGAAGTGGGGTGAAAATAAAGCAAGTTTGAATGATCAGCTGTTTGGGTATGAGTTAATGGGATTTGGTAGTTTTGGGGATTTGGGGTTTATTGTTCTTAAAGAAGTAAAAAGTGCTGGCTGAATTACTTGGTCTCAGTATTGGGGATAAACGAGGGGAAAACACCCTGTCTGTAGAATTTAATTGGAGAATATAAACAGAGTTTTTATAGAACAACTAGATCTGAGGTGATTAAAGGATGATTAGAATTATATGACTCTTTTATGATGCTGTAAAAGTTCAATCAGTTAGTTTACCTGATTGCATTATTATTTAATTTTCTCAGGTTAGTCAATGTGAGGGGAAGGTTATGTAACACTGCAGGGAACCAGGTCTCTTAAGTTATAGAAAGTATATACTGTTTGTTAGGCATTAGTCTGAGTCAGATTATAAACCAAAATGTGCTCAAACACCTCCAAATACACAGTGGGAGCTATGGGGTGTATACCACTTCCCTGAAGAGAGATGAAAATTTTGTCTCATGAGAATGAAATTACAACCGAAAGATGCTGAAACTATCAGTAAAAATTATCTTTTGTTCTGTAAAAGAAACATGTAAGAAATAAGCTGGTATATACAATTCATTTTCAAAAAACTGTTTGTTCCAAAACAAGGATGATTTTACAAACTACTTTTGACAGTAGTATATTTTATGAACGGTTTATTCACTGTTCTTCCTCTCCTTATGGGCTTATACTGACCTCTTCTCTTTCTGCAACACCCTGCTGCAAGAACAACAGTACAACAGCAAAGGAAGATGAGAGAAGAGCAAAGAATGACAGGAATCAACCAGACACCCAGAGCTACAGCCTCCCAAGCGGGTGCCTCATTATCTGAAGTATAGTTCCTACCGCTGTAGCCTTTGGTATCGTTAAAATGTTGCTTACTGCTGTTCAGACGAGGAGGAGTGGGCACGTGGGATAACACCTCGGTAGACTTAGATATCACAGTTGAAGGTACAGTCCTGTGGTCTGAGCTGGCGATAGACCTGGTGCTTACTGAAGTCGTGCTTGTCTTCGTAGCAAAATGGTCATCCAGTGGAAAAGTTTCTCGCCTGGACAAAGTGGTAACTTTAGTTTTTTGGACCATCAGGCTTGTGGTGAATGTGTAACTGTCTGATATTAAGCTGTGGCTAGTGGTAGAAGATGGAGCTTGGGGTAGAAGAGAACTTGATGTGACATTAGTTTGCTGGCATCTTTCCAGCTCAGTCATCTTTGTACTGTTTTGCCTTTTGTATTTGTTCAGTGAGGAGTGAGTATTTGGCTCTTTTGGTGTCAGTTTCTCAAAAATAAGAAGATCTGGATCAATCCCTATTAAATCATAAACAAATATTCATTAGATACTCATCTTAGAACATGACTCTTGAAAGCAGAGTGTATCCTCCAGGTCCAATGGTGAATGGCAGGAAGAAAGAGGGTTAGTATTCTCTGAAGTAAGTATATTAATGAAATAGGAAAAAACGCTTTGATACATTTTTAGCGTTATGTGTATTACTTAAGAAGATCTTTTAGCATAACAACTGACCTAGTAAAATATTATCATTTCTTATAGTTGCTGTGTTTTCAGCCTTTATACACGCAATGCCTGATTACCTGTTGTGATGTTGTACAAAATGGTGTTGATTCTAGCCTTTAGTATGCAGCTTTCCAGTGCTGGGCAAGACACGTGCAGGCAGTTCATGTTCTCATGAGGAGCTCCGTGGTAGAACACTGCTAGATTGCAGGAAACTATAACGAGAAAAGAATAAAGCTCAGTTTGTCAGCCCCATGACCTTTGTATTTTGCATGTTACTACATTATTTAACAGTAGAAGAGCTTGGACCCTGCTTGAGCAGGGGGGTTGGACTAGATGATCTCCAGAGGTCCCTTCCAACCTCAACCATTCTGTGAAAAAGTACTTCTGTGAAGAGCGATAATACTGGACAGTTACATAGTGCTTTAAAATCTGTGGTTCTCATTATCTTACAAACTAATTAAACCCATGGTCAGAAAAGTAGAACTATTTAGGACTATACTCTTATTTTACATCTAGACGAAAGGGATAGAATGGCTACTTGAATTCCAAATGTGTCTCTGATTAAATTAATTTACAGAACTGACACACTGTGGCTTGTAGTCCTGCTACCAGTTTTCTCACACAGTCCCTTCCATCACACCTCAGCTGCAGGGAGTGGATTATTTCTAAAAGTAAAGCTATCACAGAAGACAGCTTTAAGCTGTTTGCTGTGGTATTACGGATACCTGTCTGCTTGACACTGGACTGCAACCACTTATTTCACCCAGACTATTACAACCATCCGCTGAACTGCAGTAAGCAGCATCCTGCCTTACTGTCAGTTCCCAATCCTTTCCCTTGTTTGCCCTGTGCTATTGTGCTGTGAACAAAGAGTATAGATTTAGTTTAGACAATTCTTGATTTATGTTGGGAAATTCAATTCTATCTTCCCACATCAGAAATCAAGGCTAAAACAATAATGAAAAAATGCATTAACAACTTGTCCCTGAAAGCCAATTTTCAAAAGATTGGAAATAGGGCTTAGAAGTCAATTTAATTAGATGCCTTTGAAAGTTTTATGTTTATGTCACACTATATCAAAAAACGTTCTTCTTTCAGAGTCTTACAATGCCTCAAAAGGTAAATATCTAGTCAAAAGTTAATTTTCTTTTATGATATCAGTCTATTTGGAGCAGGCAGGATCATAGTTAGTTTTTGGTTTAATTAGAGGACGTTTTTGGTTTTTTGCCCTTTTTTTTTTTAACCTAATCTCCTCTTTCCTGCCTTGAATGTAACCTCCATACCTGAACGAACATGGCTACTTAAAATTAAAAGAGTATTGCCAGGTCTGAGGAAACATTAAATAGCAGAAAAGCCTGTAAATCACTAAAAATGCTAAAGAGAACTTTTCTGATACTGATTGGGAGTCTCAGGCTTTGCACTTGAGAAAATTCTAGCATTCATCCTGAGCCTAACTTGGGCAATGTATTTATGAAATGAGCTTTTAAGGTAAGATGCTTATGCGTCTTTCTTTGTGTAACTCTGATTGGAACATGTGGATTACTAGAGCTGAAAAGTTACTTCAGCCAAACATTTCTTAACATAGTTCCATGATTTTTGTTAATACTGGAAAAGAAGCATTTTAGTTAAAGTATATTCACGTAGCACCATTAACAAAAATCTTCATTTTACCTAAATTATTCAGAAGCTACTTAGCTTTATAAACCTAGGTGCTTATGCCAACCATTATCATCATATTTGTAAGTAATTAAACTAATTTGTAATACTTCCACAATGTATAATGGAAAAATCATGCAATTCTTTCCATTTTATGTTATCCTAAAAAAAAAAGTCTTAACTATCCACAAATACAAAAAAAAAGAAGAATATACACTAAATCCAGCCCTACTATCTTTTCTTTATTACTTAAATATTTTTTCATTTAGTAGCCTGTATACTGCATCATACAGTAAACCTACAGCTTGGAAGCAAGTTTTCCAGTTATAATGAACTTACCTGTCATAAGAGAGAACTGTTGCTTTCAAAAAATGTGTGCCATGCAGTTTAAGTATTTGCAACAAAAATGCACTCTGTCTGTCTGAACAATACAGATTCAGCAGCATTATGGAAAGGACGGATGATAGCAGAAGTGCTGTTACAGAGTTTATATTGTCTTGTGGTTTTTAGCTCCTTTGGATATAAAGATCAAAGTTGTCTGCCCAGCTGGAAAAAAACAGTAGTATGTACCGATAAAACTGGGATCTTAAACTCTAATGAAAGGCAGGTAGTGATATGATTTGACATAAACTCTGAAACAAAGAGGACAAGCAGCAATTTTTCCTTCACTTACATTGTTTTCATGTCCTATATCTAACTGCAGTTAAGTTTCATCATTTATTTGTCATAGAAACTTGTGCTTAAGAGTATATTCTTAGGAAGTTAAACTTGGTGCAAGGAAGGTTATGATTATACAAACAGCAGAAGAAGCTGTCTTGTGGAAGACAGAGTGATAATTTTACAGGGATTATACAAAGCTCTGGCTCTGTTATATGCCAATTAGTTTACATTTTTATTCAAAAGACTACATATAATCTGCAGGGTTAAGGAGGCATCTTTAGTCACTACATAAATATTTTGATCTATTTCTTGCTGCAGGCATTTTTACAAGTGATATACAAAGTGTATTCACTTCCATGGAAAAGGCAATGTAAAATCCAGTCACTATTTTTAAGAATAATTTTCTGAATACAAAAATAGTTCTAGCATCATAAACTTTTTTGTATCCTTTTTAGCATAAGTTAACAGTCTAAAAGACAAAGCCCTTCAAATATTGGTGTGAAATACCTGTGTAGTATTTGCTTTTCTGTGATACGTCTTATTCAAAGATTATTGCAAACACTAATAATGTGATATTATGAAGTCATTGTTTGAAAATCAAAATATTCAGATTTTTGTTCACATCGATGATTTTCCTTGAGAAAAAAAATCCCAAACTATTCTTCATTTTTATCACATGTTGTAGCAGTAAGTACCCTTGCCTTCAGACCCAGATAGACAGTGTTCTGGATTTTATTAAAGATAGAAGTTTTATGCTAATAGCATATTTTATGTTTGTTTTTACTATCATATATGAAGACTGTGTGGGTTGGCTAATATAAAGGCTATCTGATTTAAGAATATATAAGACACCTGAAAATACATGTATTTGCTTGGAGGGAGGAGTGAGAACTTCCAAAATTTTCCCACTTCCTACACAAACATGCACAAAGTTGTAGGGTCTTTAGAAATTCCTTTTTATTTTCAGCACAGTATAATTCAAAAAATGCTTTTCATTTCAGTGATTACTTTGCAAACTTTATGAAAATACTATTAAATATTAGAAAAAGAAGTCTTATTTGAAGAACTCTGTTGTCTGCAAATATATTCTCTTTTGGATGTGTGATGGATGTTATTGCATAAAATACAGTAAGAAAAATAAGTCAAAACCTTTTTTGATAAGGAAGGACAGCTCTTTGGTCAGCATAAGAATTCTAAGCATGCTATAAAATATTTTTATTACTTTGAAGGGATATAAGCAGCAAATTTTATTGTTTGTTTTAAAATTATTTCAAAAATTATTTTTATCTTGTAAGATGAGCTTTTACTAACTTTGCTATTACTGAGAATCCAGCAAATAAAACTCTCTTATAAAACTCCTTATAAATCTTTATTTCTTGAAATCTTAATTAGCACATTTTTTGGCAATAGAATTTGTGATAGTGACAACATCTGTCTCCTTGGGACTATATCGGAACTACCAGCTGTTTTAAAGTATATCTTTAAAATGCCATCTAATGTCTATGTATTTTTGCTAAGACTATAAGAAAATCATGTTTGACTATATAAGATTATAAAAACAAGGTTCCAGGTACCATTACTTATTTCTATAAGATACCTAGTCCTGTGTTTTATGACAAAAAGTTCATTGGCTAAATAGGAAAAAAAACATTACTGAAATGTACATAATTGCTTTCATCACAGTAATTAAGACAGAAGTTGACTTCTCCCAGTAATGCTTCTGGCAGTTTTGTTAGCTATCTCAGTGTTAGGTGGTCAAGCTCATAATTAATTCAGAATGTCCTCAAAACCTATACTGACAATTTCCATTAACTGGCAGGCCGCTATCATCCTCCACACCCAAAAACCCTTCGAGTCTTGAATTTTGCAGTCAAATTCAGACACCAGAGAAGCACTCTTCAGTACACTCCTACAATTCACTCCTAAAGCGAGTGCAGCAATACAGAGCAAGTAGAGTCCTAGGGCTTTAAGACAAGCAATGAAATTTTTAAATTTTTATTCTGAGACTAAATGTATAAGACTCGGGGAAAGGGAGGAAAGGAATCGCAAGCTGAATAGCTGCTAGGTCTTCGCTGTATTGCTCATATTGATGTTATACAGAGGTTGGACCAGAAACGTGGTGTAAACATTGAACAAGAGAGTGCTCTCTCCAAAAAACTGAGTATTCTTGTATCTCAGAGAAAGCCAAATTTTGTATTCCCTCTTCCGCCCCACCATATTATAGCCTAGTACCATACTCCATGAAGAAGAGTCCTGTTGGAGTCAGTGTCACTGATAACAGAATATATTTTTTCTCTATAGGAGTAGGTGGTGATATGCTTATTGAAGTGCTATTGTTTTAATGTTAGCATTGCGCAGACATTTTGTAATAGACATCTAAAATTTCAGAGGCAGACCCTAAGATTTTCATGTCTTTCTAGTGTAGTCTTCCAAAACAAATTCAGATTATCAAATGCCTTTCTATGGGACTGAAGAGAAGACAGGAGAACAGCTACAATGTAACTTTGCTTTCTTGCTTCAAAAAATAGATGCTGCTCCATTTTTCTGCATTATTTCTTCTTCATATAAAAGAATACTGGCAAAAAAATTGACCAAAATGTTTTTCCTCCTATCTAAAAATACATAATTTAATATCCATCACAATCTTCATAATAAACACTCACCGTTCTTCAGGAGGCAGCAGGTTCTGCTGCACTGTTGGGATGAGACTTCGGAATAAATCTTCAGCACCTGGGCTCCCCTCCGCTGTGATTCCTGCAGGTCGATCAGAAGACCTGGGAAGCGTCGGATCCAGCAGTTTTTGTAAAAAGTAGTTGGTGAGCAGAGGGAGTCTGACTCCGCAGCCAAACCGAGAACCAACAGCACTTCTGCCAGTGCCACCAGCAGAACCATCTCTTCAATGTAATGGGCTTCGTGGCTGTGCTTTCTCCTCCGCAGACGCACTGAGGTTTGGACCAGCATTTTAAGGGACTAACTCTTGTGTGGTGAGGATACTGCTAACTCGGCCAGGGAAATGAGCCAGGGGATGGTTTTTCCAAACTATTCCCATGATGCTGTTTGGGCAGTTGCTGGAAGGAAGCAGCCATGTAAACTACATAGGATTATAACAGTTATTATTATTTGTTCTGTAAATGAATTATTTGGAGACAGTTTTTGAGAGTAACAAACACAGGCTGCTTTGAGCTTGTTTCTGTGATCCCAAGTTTGTATCTCTTGTCCTTCTAAGCTCAAACTATCCAGACATCCTTAATGTGCAGTGAATAATGGTAAATACAGGAGATTGTTTTACCTCGGCTCCAAAAGCATGCAGTCCAGCCCCCTGAGAGCAGGTAGGTCTGCCACTTTGTTCAGGCTCACTATTACACTTGACACAGAAGAAGAGGCTCAATTTATTTTCTTGTTATTTTTGAATTATCTGGCAACTGAAAATGTATTTTCCATCTTTATTAACAAACGGGATTATCTAATTCTGTCTCCCAGCCAGAGGTGGAAACTTCATTCCTCTTTTCTACTCTGCTTTGAATGTAAAAAGAATACTATTTTATTTTGATGATCTAGCAATGGATGAATATGACTGTAGAAGTCTGTAGCCTACTCCGGACTAGATAAATAGTCAAAGTCCTGTCCCTAATCTTCCATAAGATTAAGAATATTGAACCGTCTATATGGCTTTTTCTGCTTATGTTCAAGGCTTGGAAAAGGCCTGTGAGAGGGCAAGAAAGAAAATATAGTTGGTATTTAGGAAGTCAATTTTTCAAGCACCTGTTGTGAAACCTGAAACTGAGTGTTTTATTTCTTAGAAGAACTCAATGTAATCCCTGGCTCCCACTTCTGAATGCAAGGCAGCATACAGAAAGGCTTTAAAATGTTGCTATACAGCATTTCATTGAAACTCAATGGACTATATAGAGAGGTGGAGGGAATTAGGTAGAAATGCAGTTGTCTGCAATAAGAATTGTGTGTGGAATATATAAAAATACTTTAGAAGGAAACTTTTTCTTCAAGATTAGGATCAAGGAATTTCCCCAGCTCCACATAAAGTATAGAACAATGATATGAATGGGGGCTTCAAACTCATTTTAATTCCTTAGTCATTGTAGCTAGTCTTTGTTTTGCAAAACAAGGCCCCTATTTCAGAAATGAGTTAATACATGCATAATTTTGTGCCTGATGGAGATCCCTGGAAAGTAAAGGGGCTCTACACAAGTTAGCTCCTGTTGATGTAAGAGCAAGGCCTTCATTTATTCAGCGGAAATACTGGCTATAATCAGGAAGCCAAATAAATGTCTGCTTTTATCCAGGTTGCATGTCTGTTGTGGAGAAATTGGTAAGTGAGAGCTTAAGTGGGTTATTCTTTAAGCCTCTGTCCTGAAAAACAGCTCTGCTCTTGGTACTGGTGTTTTATTTGCTTTTGGTAGTCTGATGTGCTTTCCTTTATCTTCATCTCTATGTGAAAGTCACTATGGAAAATCTTAAATATGTTTCAGTACACCTGCTGGTTTGCACTCAGTGGACTGCATAGGGATGTTTTCAGGCATTTACCTAGCATTGCCCCAAGCATTTCTGACAGTATATTTTTCTAAAATAATTTTTGCTTCAGTTTTCAGAATATTCACAAGGCATCATTTGCTATGGAGCACAGTCAAAATGTTGAAATTTTAAAATCTGAATTTGCATTGTGGCATTACCTCCAGGATGTAGTATGAATTCTGGATCTATCTTGTTCTGTAAGTCTGGTGTGCAAAAATGTTGAGTCCTGATTGCTTTCCTCACTCCTCCTCTTCCCATTTCTCCAAGCTGAGAAATCTAAAAGGTTCTGAATAACTTAAGGAAACATGGAACAAAGGGATTAAACTGATGTAAAACAAGTATTTATATGGGGTAAAACTGAATATGTCTTTCGTCCTTTGAAATAAATAGGATTATCTGCATGAACAAAAAAATGAGCGGTAATAGGTAACCTTGATAGTAACAGTAGATCTATTTGCCGTTACATCAAAATTACGCCATCTCCGCTCCTGTATATTTTCATATATGTTTAACACCTTGCAAAGTTTGGATATAAATAATGAATATGATTACTTCCTCCTTTCCAGGAAAAAAGCGGTTAAAGGAGCAGTCCTGTGACATATTTCAGTTAGATGGACCTCAATTACCGTATGATTCCTTCGATTTCAGTGGGCTCTGACCAGGTAAAGTGCAAGAACAGAGCGTGAACGTGTCTGAGCATCAAAGCATCTTGCAGATCTTTCACTAAGTCATTCTCTGCCATCACATTTTGAATAAGGTAACAAAGTTTCAAACACCTTTTACTTCAGTTTAGGCAGTCAGCAGCGGCAGTAAGTGAGAGTGCTCGCCACGTGTAATATTTAAATATATATTTGCAGGATTGAGCTTGAGTAACCGGTCATGGTTTGTACAGATCTGTGATTTCAATGTACATTTTAAATCTCTTTTCAGTTTGACACCATTTGGCAACAGACACAATGCTAGTCTTTCTTTCTCTTCATAGTTTTTATGAAGAGACATGTTTTTCATGTTTTTGCCTTCATGTATTTATTCTGTGCTCCTGCGGTGTGCCTCATCCAGCAGCCCTTTTTCCTTTGCATGAATTGTAATTCTTTGTCCGGTCTCTGTTTCTGAATAAATTACAAGAGCATGAATAGCTGCAGAGGAAGTTTAATGAAACATAAAGAGACTGTCCAATATATAAGGCTGCTTGCAGGAATTTACTTTAAAAACTAAAAAGTTTTGTCTGCTAAGTTTCAGAGTCTTCTGCCACCTGCCTCATAATTTGACTTTGACTTTTCTGTGGGAAATGCATAAATATAACGTAAAGATGAAGTTTTAAATCACAAAAATTTTGCAAGAAGGAAATATTCAAGTCTTACCTGCAAACCGGAGCCCGACTGTTCCATGTGCTCTACAGGGAGGGACCAAGAGACATTTACTGTTAGTAAGATGTCTCTGCTCAGTATCAGACCAGCACTTCATATTATGTAGTAATTCTTTTCATCAGTCTTCTCAAATATCTTACAAACTGGCAGTTACCTGTTTTCTGTGAGAACATAGACGTCTTTTTATCCCTTTTACTGAAAGATTTGTAAATGTACCTGCCACAAAGGAGGAGAATGATCTTATTAATAATACTTGTTATAAACAGAAAACCGTACCTGAAGTTTTCCACCTGGGCTGGCAGTGATAATGGCACAATCCAAGAGCTTCCTGGCACAAAGCAGTCACCAGGCATTAACTCCTTTTTTGCCAAATCTAAACAAAATGCAAACATCTTTTCCATATATGATCCCAAATATCAATGTGCATCTATCATTTTATTTAACATATACCGAATAAGTGGTTCTAGTACTGGGAATATGTAAATGCCAGAGAGAAGACTGATTTATATAATACAGGAAAGCTTTCCTGAACTGGACTAACAGTGCAAAGGCTTTGATTCCTTTGTCAGGTCAGCCTGTCTGAAACTACCCTGCATGACCAGCTTGGCTTTGTTCGTAGGTCGTCTGTTGTCCGTACTGCTCTTGTCCTCTGCTTCTCTACTGGGTGTCTTCTAGCAGCCCTGAAGGGGGAATATGAGACCATAGTCAGTGTCCTGGGTCAAGTTGAAGCTTAGGCCTTAATATTGTATGATGTCTTACGAAAGAAAGTGTTGTTAGTTACTATTTCCTAGCCAAGTTTAGTGCCTGTCTTTGAAAGTTTCTCCTTTGTTCTGCTCCGTCGACCATGGTGAAGCGCGTATGATCAGGTGGACACATGCCTCTGGGCCTTCCCTTTCCTGAGTAGATTATGGGATGGAGGTGAGGTGCACTCCCAGATGCACAGATGTGGCAGGAGCAATGCTCTGTGATGCTGCCACAGTGATGCAGAGCTCTGCAGCAAAGGATTGCTTCTAGCCCAGACCCTGTCTGTCCCAACCATGGGAGAGACCAGTGCTGCGCAAAGCACTTCTTATCTGCTACAGCTAAAGTCAAACACATTAGGTTAGCCATCTGAGTTATGTCCCTGCCTATGTTGAACATCAGTAAGCATATCTGACCAAATGTGCAGCATGATCCTATGCAGGGTTAGCCCTAAGAGTCTCTCCTGAAGTCAGTGGACCCCTGTGTCTGTATTGCCCTCCACATGAGCAAATTGAATTGTAGGTCTGTGCTGAAATCTTGGGTAGGTCAGTTTTCGTAGCCATGTGCGTGTGGTTTCCCTTTATTATGACAGCATTTAGATCAAAATTTCACCTAAGCTAAATATTTCAGTAATGCCAGAATATGTCACTGTGACTTATTATAATAAAAAAGTTACCAAAATATTGATGTAATGAATCACAGTAAGTACATTTAAACAAATATCAAAGCAAATCTTTCTGACGTTATTGAAATACTCTATTCATTTTCTTTCTCCTTTAGAATTTCTTTGGAATAAAAACATTCTTGCAAAATGTTTTGAGTCCAACCAAACAACATTTTTTGAGAGAACCATTTTGTAAAAAACAGCTATTAGTGGTCAGATTTGGGGTTGGAACAATGTATTAAGTTTTTAATGAATCTGAACTTCTCCAAGGTTTGGGACAATCAAATCCAGGATTCTGGTTTCAGACCCATTCCAGCCACATAGCAAAGAGAGGTGAAACTTTACAGTTTCTGTTCCTCGGACTCTGTGTGAGCCGCTTTTTAAACCATTGTTTCAAAGGGGCTGCCAGGCCCTGAGTTTCTCTCGGAGCTTAGATTCAAACTAATTCTGGTAAAACTTATATATGAAAGCTGGAATCTTTGTGTTAAAACAAAGCATAACCGAAGACCTAGCCAGGTTAGATTTATACAAATATAAATCCACTGACATACACCCAAACTTAAGCCTAGGTTTATGACAAAGGGGCACAGTGTTTAGCAAACGCTTTAATGAATGAATGTTGATTTATGACAGAACTTGCAACTAGGCAAAAGGAATGGACTTTCAATTCTGTGATGAATTTTATACAGTTGGGTAATCGGTGAAAGTCTTCCATGTGAGATACCATTCATCTTACCTACTTATTATGTGCTAAAATTCCATTCTGTCTGTCTGCACCAGGATTTAAAAATACATGCTGCTTTAAAAGCTCCCAGTTTATTCTCATCTAGACAGAGCTACATAAGAAAATTCTAGCCTGGGGATGCACAGTGCATTTGTGTGGAACAAAAATCCCTAACAGGAGATTCAACAGCAGGCAGAGCTCTCCAGCAGCCTGACCCCAGTTCAGGTTTTGTCAGGGAACACTTATTTCACCTGAGTTTCAAGGAAGTTCCTTACTGGATCTTTGGCCTAAAAGATGAACAGATTGAATGTCACTGTAAAGATTTATGCACTTGTGCCTCTGTTCTGCTCTCTGGTGACTGAATTTTCTCATGATCCACAGAGCCCATTAAGACATAGGTGAGTGGAATGGGCTTTTTGCTGCTGAGAGCGAGGTCAGTAGCATAGGCTGTAGTATTAATCAGTCCTTAAATTTGACTAAAGAGCTAAACATGCATAAGTTAAGTATTTGATAATAAATAATCAGTATTCCAAAAATACCACTCCCAAGTATTTTCTCAATACACAGTACTTCTGCTGCAAGCAAATAAATATTAAATAGTACCCTCAAAGGCAGAAAAATTAAGCATAAAATAATACAGAATAAAATCTAAGCAAGTGCTATTAAAAATAAGGGTTTTTTTTTAATAACATTTGTAATGGTGTTGTGTAAGAAGTACTTTGTTTGGCTGGGAATCTGAAAAAAGAAATTATCTCTGTTTAGCTGCTCATCCTTCAGAAATGATAAAGATTTCAGTTGAAATAAAATATGTTCCAGTCAATTTCTCTCAAAAAATCCAAGATCCTTTCAAACACTGATATTTTTAATGCTGAAATACTGCAGGATGTTTCCTATGTTCCAGATATGCTTACTTTGTATCCTGTGACAAGGAAAATACTAAACAATGGCAGCATTTGGTGAATCATTTCCAAAAGACTAATTCCTCTCTTGAGTAATTCCACTATTACTCAAAACACAGTTCCCTGGCAATACAGTGCAATTCCCTGGCGGCCCCAGGGGAAGAATGTGGCACTTTATATTTTATGTTAGATATCATGTATATTTTAAATATCCACTAGTTCTGTTCCAGTTCACATTTTAGACTAACAAGGCTGAAAGAAATTCAAATTTTCCTATGTTTTTTGTTCTCTAGGTATTCCTTTCCTTAAGCTATCAGATTGATGTTTCTTTCTTAGTCTTATGTGTTATATAGTGCCTATGTGTTGAATCAAGAGAAGGTTTGCCTAAAACAAACACAAAATCACTGCAATGCCCCTTTAGGCCCTGTACTGGTGCTTAAGGGTTTGGTTGTCTTCTGCTGCAGATTTCCTGTGTGATTTTGGGCTAGACCAACAAAAAAATTTAGGCTGTATTTCATGTGTATGTAAACCATACACCTGGTTTCCAAGAAAAACAGTTGTCATTCTCCTCACCCCCAGTGACTTGCACTTCCGCTACCCCCTGTGCTGTGCCTTGTGACCTTACAGAGAAGCAGGCTGTGGACTCATGCAGTTCACTACACAAAGCCACTGGGTTCACTGGGGGAACAAGTGGCCAGATTTTCATAGATTATATATGTAAAACTAAGCAGTGTTAAATACGTGAAGTGAATCTGAAGTTTAAGGAGGCTTCAGTCTTGGCACACAGAGCAGGCTGGCCCCAACTTTATATATATTACTTGCCTTGAAGGGTCAGCCAGGAAGCACGAGCAGAGTTCTGCACAGAACAGAAGGAGTACTGCTTTTATCTAGTTATCTCTGGCTTTACTTTTCTTATCTTTGCAGCAGTAACTCCTCCTGACTCAGTCTGTGCTTACTTTTGCTATGTAGACAACTCAAGAGAACTATAGAAATGTATGCTCTGGCAGTGAAAAGGTCAGAAGCTTAGGTTTTCCATGTCATGGTTGAATAGTCTATTACAATATATCTGTTGTATAAAAGAGCTTCTTGTATTTCCAAGTATTTCTAAAAGAAAAGCATGACCTCTCTTCAGTCTTGGAAATAATTTAGGCATTAACTACAAGAAAACAGTTTACGCACCAGCTACAGGAAAAAGCATGTAGACTGTGAATCCCAGGTACAAGTGGGCATCTCAGTTGCAAAGGGAGAGAGATGTTACTGCTGCTCTTTGGTGCCTTCCTGCTCACCTTGTTGGCGCTTGAGGATCTTGTTCTGTGAGACTAATTTATATCTCTTAGACATTGTAGAGAGAGACCTGAAGCATCTAAATCAGCTTCTAATATGAAGACTTCACTCCAGAAGCCAAATCCTAAAGGTTAGGTATTGAAAGGTAACCTTAGTTATCTTTGTCTTCTCCTCTGTGTTAATGTCTTGTTCTTCAGGGCATGTTCTTTTATCACAGACTTGTTTAATATCTACATGGATGTAAACTTGTTTTCATGTTGTTTCATGCTTCTGCTTGTACTTAATGAGTGACGGATCATCTTTTGCATTTGGTTCAAAGATGATGACAGTCTTTTATGGCTCTTATCTTCAGAGTTTGAATTTTTAGCTCTAGCACTCATGATTTCTATTTTCAGCTCTGGAAAATGCATAGCTTACTCTCTACGATCAGCCAAGACAACTCCTTGTGAAATAGCAAGACCTATTGATTCCAGTATAATAATATGTATAACTGATCTTCTTATAAAGCACAGTGTTGCTGGGGAGCAGAGGACAAATGAAATAATCTGTACAAATATAGAACAAAAAGATAGTTCTTGCGTTGGTGCATTTGCAGTATACGTACCATATAAGCACAGCATACAGCCTGACTGATGAACGTGGTAAGAAAACAATGGAACTGCACTGTCAGTATGCTCTGATTTAATACAGTCACCTAGTCCTAAGTCTGGATAAAGCACAGGCAGCTGACAATCAGCCTCGTAAAAACAATTGGTTGGAGAAACAGATTTAAGCTTTTTGCAAAAATGGCCATTCAGCAAAGAGCACTGCTGACCCCTTGCACATACAATAGCTCCAATGAGAGCCAGTTTGTAGAAGTCAGTACTCCCAAAAGTTTGCTGGCAGGAAGAGAATTCTTACTAGTACATGACAGAACTGATCCAGTCTATTAAAAACCTCATGGAATGTGAAGAAGATGGACTTGAAATCCTTGGCAGAGTGACAGGTACAGATGAAAGGCCCATAAGGCAAGAGAAGAAATATTCCATCCATGCAGACTGTGGTGTCAACACTTTGAGGGAACAGTACTTATCATAACTGACTCCATGGAAAAAATCACTCACCATTTAGGAGCACACTTACCAATACATCAAACATACGAGATTCCAAAACAGATGCCTAAAGATGGCAATCATACCAGCGTGCTGGCAATCACACAGTATTCCAACAGGAATGACCATGACAAATATGAGCTCTCTGTTTATCTCTGGAATATGAATGATTACAATTACTTATGATGTTGGGCTGTGGGAATGAAAGTGCAACAAGGAAATACAAGTTGGACTCCTACCAGAGTGGTAAGATACTTGTTTTGTGTGGTATCTCTTCAGCCTGAACCTGACACAGACCAAAAAAAAAAAAAACCCAAACAAAAAACAAACAAACAAACAGACCAAAAAAAAAAAAAGAGGCCAGTGCTCAGATTCAAGCACGTATACCAAGCTTCAGTTAGGTATAAGAAACTTGAAAAGCCAAACGATGCAGTGCTTCATCAAGAACATAACATAGGAAAGCGAAGATGAAAATTAATGAAATATTGAGGAAACATGAAGAGGAATACAAAATCAGCAGATAACAGTGACAGTGATTAGAAGGAAAGAGAAGAGGATGGTATGGACCTAGCTAGGACTGAAGCTGCTGAAGAGAGCTCTTTACCAACTGGTTAAAATCCTATGTATGTGAAGGGGTTTCAAAACAGGAAGTGAGCCCCTCAGAGGCAAGATGATGCAAATGCTTTGAAGTGAGGTAGAAAAAAAAGTCTCAGCAATCTGTCTCCCCTCAACACCTGCTTTCTTGAGCATCAGCACAAAAGGACACCTTTAACTCTGAGATGTGCATTAGTATCATCTGTATGGACTGGAATTAAGAAGCTGAACATCAACAAAATAGTGCGAGATCCCTTCACAGAGGAAATGCTAAAAAGCAAACAACCCTGTCTTCTGAAAAATAACCCAACAGCTATTCTGAAGAGTTTTATTAGTAGAGGGAAATATTCCCTCCTTAGTAGTGGAAAAAAGGAGTTGTCAGAAAATGAAGCAATCTGCAAAAACTGGAAATGAGTCACATAACTGCTAAAGGGAAAGATTTTCTATAGCCTAATATTACACCGAGTGAAATAAGTATCTTTATAAAGATAAAAATATATAAAATATATTTTTAAAAACTAAAAAATATAAAATAACATTTATTTTAAGCTTAAGTTATAAAAATACATAGGATGGCAGACTTCCTCATCTTTCTTCTTTTCTCTAAAAAGAAAACAACATTATTTTGTGTTTCAAGAGTATAACGAAGGAGATGTCGCAAAACAGTCATTACATCCATGCAGCAAGCTGTTCAGTTATTAATTTCTTGCTTCCTCGCTCATGTCGAACAAAATCAGGGCCCAGCTACATTTACCACCCTCAGGAATAATGACATATATGTCCTATTTCAGGAACTTAATTTAAATAGAAAAGATAGAGTTGCAGGAAAGGAATACATATTTTGTGCCGAATGAGGAACTGGGACATTGGGAGACTTGTCCAGGAGGAATCAGGAAGGTCGTAGCGGAATTGTGCATCTTACTTGGCCTTTCTAAATCCTAGTGATGTGCTAGACTTGAAAGATGATCCATTTTGTTATTTTTTTTTAATAGATGCCACAGAATCTGGATGCCGTGGAATCGCTGCCGCTCCCGCGCTTCCTCCCTTTGTATGTATAAATATATGCACACATATTTTTTCCTGCCGCTTCGAGAACATTCCTGCCCGGCAGTATTTAGAAGTACATTTATGGCAAGAGGTTACAGCTGGCATGCGGGGTGATCCCAGTCCAATTCGGGGGGCAGGCGGTGGGGAATCGGTGCACCTTTTGCTTCCTTTCGCCCAGCAAAATCGAGCGCTTGGCTTTTTCTGCTGGTGGCCGACACACGCAAGAGCTTAAAAATCCCTCCCCAGCAAAGGCGCGGGCAGAGGGTGGCTTAGCCCCGAAGCATAGTTGGGAGCTGACTGTCCCGGGCCGTCAGCTGGGAGCTTCAACATTGCCTTTTTAGGGCTTTTTTCCCCCCTTCTTCTTCTTCTTCTTTTTTTTTTTTTTTTTGTCCTTCCC